AATTCAATCCTTGAAAATGCGGGCAACCGACCTATCATCCTGGTCATTACTTCCTTATGCATCGTTCCATACAATATTAAGGAGACATCTAAATTACGTTATTTTCACTGATCAAACATTGACTAAGTAACCGACATTTAATCAAACTAATGCTATTTTGCAGGTAAAATTAAATTCACCTCTTCAGGAGCGACCTTACTACTCGCGAATCCAAGAATTCCAGAAGTATTTAATTTTAGGACAAGGTGAAGTTCTTAAACATTTACTCACAATATTTGCTTGAGTGTTATGAGTTTGATGTTGAACAAACCAAAACGGGAATAATTATCACTCCTTTTTGGTGATAACAGTGATGGCGATGGACAAAATCCACCGATGAAAAGCATAGAAGCACCTCAAAGGAAGGATGAGGACGAGCACGACACTAACGATGAGTAAAGAAGGGTTATTCAGGACAATTTTAGAATTCGGTTCCTTTGTAAAGGGTTTGTCGTTGATTTTTCGTAAATTACTTATGTTCGATGAGTCTGTTAGTATGTCCGATAATACTATGATGTTCATATTTTAAATGGTTTAAGTACTTTAATAATTTGGATTCTTTTACACTACCAAAAAATTTACATTTCGATAATTTTAGAGATCTGGATTATTGTAAACTAACAGAACAAGTGAAACTCATGCTACTTCTATTTTGTATTTACACGATTTGCAAATGCACCCGACATTGCTACCTATTTAGAATTTACGTGATTCGAAAATGAAACCGGCCAACCGGCCGGGCCCGTGACTAGTTGATGAATGTGAAGGAAACGACAGGATCCTTCACAAAATCTTATCAAAGTTTGTTTACGACAAAAAATTACTTTTTATTATTAAAGAGTGAATCATCATTTGACCACTAACCACTAATTATTAAAAAACAGGAAAAAAGGGAAACCGATTTTCACAACTCAAAGAAAGAAGGAAGATATAAATATATAATTATTAAAATTAATGTGACTAAGTAATGGACCACATTATACTCTATTGGTGTCATTCGGTCCAAACGTCAGTTTGATCCGGTGCCAAACGTCAGTTTGTTCCAGTGCGTTCCGGACAATTGCACACCCCTAAATGAGCGGCAAAAACAATGTGAATTCAAACTAAAAATTTCATCACGTTATGTTGATTCGTAATTTCCGGATTGAGTAACCACAAAATATGACGTAGGAACCATTATTTTAATTATAAAGATCAATACCAAATTTTTAACAAAATGGATCACAATTTTTGCTTATTCCTATAAGTACCTATAACCCACCGCTAACTTTAATTTTTTAATGCTCCCTTTTCTCATTTATTAATAAAACACAATAAATAATGAACGATTTCTGCTATTGGACGTTTTTATATATAACTACCACAATAAATAATGGTGTAAAGAGAGAAGAAAGAAGCTTGAAAAGAGAGATGGCAAAAAAAAAAAAAAAATTGCTACAATGAACGTTTTCTCTCCATTTTGGAGGGTTGGGTACAACAGTAACCTTTCTCTCCCCTTAACACTATTCTAAACTAAAAAAAACAGAGGAAAGTGCATTGGTACTGCCACTTTCCACCCATTCTTTCCCTTCCCTCCTTTTCCTTCCTATATGAACATAGTATTAATTAAAGTTCAAAATTTGATGTATTATGGACACTTTTAGAGTTGGGTGCACTGAGTGCACCCAAAAAAGTGAGTGCACCAAAGTAGCCACCATATATATATATATATATGTATGTATATATATATATAGGTGACTACTTCGGCGCACTCATAAAAATGAGTGCGTTCAATGCACCCAACTCAAAAACTAGGATTTTGAATTTTAATTTGTAGAATTAGTATAATATGATGATATAACATATGATAACAATTAATTAGCGGATTACCCTAAGCCCTAGCCCTCCAATTTTGAGTTCTATCCCTAAACCCCAAATTGTAAATCCTAACCCTAACCCTAGATCTTTAAACTCTAAATCCTTCAAATTAAAGCAAATCTTTCATGGTTTTTGTGCAAATTCATGTGCGTTATTGTTCATCACATCATAAGTGATGATTGATACCATTTTGACATAAATCTCATATTTAAAATGACGATTATGAAGCGAGTGCACTGAATGCACCCAAAAAAGTGAGTGCACCGAAGACGCCACCATAAATATATATATATATATATATATATATTTAAAAAACGTCTACAAAGGTTCAAACCAGTCGGACCCTTATCAGACCATTAAACCTCAAACTCCTCAATTGACCGGCTCAATAATTTAAACCGGTTTGACAACCTTGTTTGCATCTTTTCCTTCAAATTTCACTTACCCACCAATGTTCACAAGAATATACCAATAGCATCACTTCCCCTTTTCCCTTTTCCTCTTTTCTACGTTGGAATAATAGGTTTATTTATACAAATTATAGTGGTACCCAAACTTTATCCATCTTAATATTTAGTGCCTAAAATTAATTTTTGTTTACATATAAGTTCTTCAAATATAGATGAAAAACTAAATTTTAGTATCTAGAATTTTTTTCTCTAACATTTTGGTACCTGAACTTTTAAAATTTTACAAACAGGTCTGTTGTTAAAGAAACTTCTGGGCCACTTTAAAAAACTTGTGGCCTGGATTTCGTGCTTTGTAGGGAGGATTTTGTAGTTTGTGGGGTGGATTTTGGGATTTGTGGGGAGGATAATTTGTGGAGAGGATTCTCTGGTTTCTGGGGAGTATTTATGGGGAAGATTTTGTGGGATGGATTTTCCGTTCCCCATTTAATTGCACACCTAACTTCCCCTTCCCCCAATTTCCCCCAATTTTTATTAATGACCAGCGTGCCCCTCCGCCTCTTCCCCTTCATTAATTATGCTCAACTCATTTAAGTGGGGAAAAAAAATATCCAAACAAAATGTTCCTATATGGTTGGAGCTAGTGTTAGCACCATGCTAAAAAAAAGTGTTAGCACACTAGCCCAACCCCATTTGAGCGGGCGAAAATTTTAAGGTCATCAATAACTTTAGGGTGTGCCTATGGTGACATGCATGTCACGGTGACTTGCACTTTCCGGTCGACCATAGTTAGGATTAGGTCGACCTCATTTAGAATTCGGTCGACCTCATATAGGATCTGGTCGACCTCATTTAGGATTCGGTCGACCTCATATAGGATCAGGTCGACCTAATCTGTTGTTTCAGTGTAAAAACAGTTCATGGTGCCTACTTTGGATATTCATATTATACAATTGGCTAGATGTAAATTGAAGACTAATGACTTGTTTTGAAGCTGGAGTGTCCCTCTACATATTGAAGAGATTGAGAGCTCGATAGGAAGTCCAGAAGACCATTTTTGAATCTCATCAAAAGGCTATGCCAAAACTGGGAAACTGCCTGGAAATGGCTAAGTCTGGAAACGTGTTTGTGAAGCCTATTTTGGAGCTCAATTTGAGAAGCATGAATGTGAGTCGAGTCCAGAAGCCTCTACCACGTTAAATTAGGTATGTTTTTATACAAATTCAAGGCATTGGATGAAAGATTGGATATCTGTAAGGCTTCAAACAAAAGGGTCGAAGTTGCTACGAAGGCTGTTTTTCTGGCAGACTTCGAGCACAAGCAAGCTGCCAGAAAAACAGCCTTCGTAGCAACTTCGACCCTTTTGTTTGAAGCCTTAAAGATATTCAATCTTTCATCCAATGCCTTGCCTTTGTATAACAAAATACGTAATTTAACTAGGTAGAGGCCCCTGGACTTGACTCGCATCCATGCTTCTCAAATTGAGCTCCAAAGTAGGCTTGACAAACACGTTGCCAGACTTGAGCCATTTTCAGAAAGTTTTCCAGTTTTGGCATAGGCTTTTGGTCAGGTTCAAAAATAGTCTTTTGGACTTTCTATTGAGCTCCCAAGTACTTTAATGTGTAGAGGGACACTTCAGATTCAAAACAAGTCTTTAATCTCCAATTTTTATCTAGCCAATTGTAAGATATGAATCTCCAAAGTAGGCACCATGAAACTGTTTTTACACTGAAACAACAGATTAGGTCGACCTGATCCTATATAAGGTCGACCGAAAAGTGCATGTCATCGTGACATGCATGTCACCGTAGCAAAGTCCATAACTTTAATATTGTACTAAAAGTGTAACATACTTTTCGTAAATGATTTGCAATTCCTTTATAATATATTTGGAAAAGGTAATTTGCAGTTACTCTCGTGTGATATTAATAAAATTTTATAAATTTATGATATGGTATAGAATAATTTATCATCAATCTCTCAACATTACCTTTGGCCCTACCCTTAGATAGTTTGTTTTGTATATACAAGTTTATTGTTCCTTGTGGATTCTCATCAACATGTAAAAAATATTAGTATTTTTTAAAATAGATGTGATTCTTGTAACTTGCGGGTGTAACTATTCTCAATATCAATGGCTTTACATCAGATCTTATTAAGGTTTTCTATGGTGTAATAGTGGTTCTTGGGTAATTACTTATTTTAAGATGAGTGGCGATATATAATCACTAGATAGAAAATATAAAACAGTACAAGTAAACTCCTAAATCACTCTCGGTGACAATTAAATCGTACAAGTAAATTCCAAAATAACTACTAATAATAATTAAATCCATAAAACATTACTATCAACCCCCAAAATCATTCGTAGTTATTATTGAAAAATTCTAAAATCACTACTATCAGCCAAAATGACTACTGAGATAAGTAGTATCGAATTTATTAATACATTTTCGATAAAAATAACTAATAATGAGAAAATATATTTTAATTTATTTCTTATTTTAATGAAATACCAAACAAGCCCTTTATTATAATTCACCGTCATATACTCATATTCAACTTAAAAAATGGATAGTAATTAGAATAGTTAGTACCGTGCAAACTCCTATGAAGTTAGGACTCTAACATCTCCGTAAACAATCATAGATATCAATCAATGTGATCTCCCTTAGTATATGCATTTATTTATCACAATAAACCTATTTTGCAACTCTGCTGACTTTGAAGACTGGTAATTTGCCTCGACATGTGAAAAGCTGACGATTCTCATGAATGCAGGCGATCCAAACATTTACAACCATTAATTGAATGAGCGACTCAAGCTACAAGGATTATTAAGAACTTGAAGCACTCACAGAAGTTATTTGGACAGTCTACACTCCCCATGATAGTTTGATAACCGGAAACGAACCGCAGAATGGAGATGCAGTTAAGAACCACGGCAACTAGAATGGAGGGAGACTATTCCAAACCAGTATCAGTTTTATTTTGCAGCCCAAACTTAAAACCAAACATAAGCATCGAAGATACTGAACTGGAGCATTCTGGGTCTAGTAATCCACTATCATGAAATCCAGAAACTGAGGTTGCCCAACAATTGATTGGTTAAACAGGAAAAAGGGGGCAGAGAAAAGTGAAACCATAAACAAGGGGAACTCCAATCTCCACTTAATAGGGGCAACGAAAGGCTCAGTGGTGCTCTTTCACCTCAAAAAGGCCATCCGGTCCTGCATGTCGTGAAAACATGGGTAAGAGAACACAATGATGCTCTCACCAAATGGAAAAGAAGAGAAAACAATGGGGGTGAAAGGACACATGCACATTTCTGAACATGCAAACCACAATCGAAAAATGAAAGTACATTGATAGTCAGACAAAACAATAAGGAAGAACAAGCATAGTACATTCTAATGAGTTTTGGCAATCTACTCGTATCAGTGCAATCACATGAAATATATAGCTCATTATATCCGATGGATCAGAGTCAAGTACACCTCCAGAATGAAAATATCTTGAAAACAAATTTTGATTGCTCATTGAAGTACTCTGGAAAACCAGCCAACTGAGGGAAAGCTGTGCTTGCAGCATCTTTTCGAAAGCAAAACGACAGACATAACAACTTGATAATAGCACCAAGTGATTTTAGTCAAGCCATTTAAAATATTGCTACCGGATCGTAAACTATGCACGACATCATAGACCACAGGCAATGTTTACACAAGAGTGGTGTCTTCTAGTGGAACAACTAGATATTTCAGAGGGAACATTGTTAGAGAAACATACCCCATGGGAACTCCTTGTTGCGGATATGCAAGTAGGGGTATGCCTGCAGCAATATACTTGACATGAGAATACAACAACTTGCATGGTACTGGCAATGGGAAAACACAACGGCCACAAGCTCATGGTAGATTACTCGCTCTTGTGCCATCAATTTTTGCTCCGAAGAACGTCGACACAACACTAGATAGATAAGCCAACTGCTTTTTTTTTTTTTTTTTTTTTATAATGGCTATGACAGATGAGCAAAATGCTTACCGGAGGCTCGTCAAAGTGATGATGGCCCTTTGACAAACAGTAAACGGCTAAGGCAGTGCAAGACGCAGCTCCAAGGTAAGTTATCTTCTCCCATTTTGATGCTTCTTTGGCCTCAACTGATACAATATCAAATTTTAGGAACGGAAGGAAGATTATGTAACAGTACAGACAATGAATAACTTCCAAGCAAAAGCAGCAATACAGTTGTGAGTACAAACATCCAATCCAATCCAACCCATTTCCATTAACCGAAAAATCATGACCAATCATCGATTTCCAAGAGAATATCGAAACCCTAAAACGACTCAAATTAGACTAATCGACTCTGAAATTACGATCGGTTGATGAAAGGTCGGGATTGATCCCAAAAGGATCGGAAATCTGGCCTTTTCGAACGACAACTGAAGGAAAGGAAAGGTTTTCGAAATAACATATGGAAAAGACAGATTCGGTAATTCGAAGAGAGCAAACAGAGCGAGGGATTTATATTTACATTCAACATCGTGATGAGCGGAAGAAGAGAATTGCCGTTTGGCTGGAGCGGAGGTCTTTGAGCCGCCGCGAAGAACGTTTCGAAGAAGACCAGATCGCAGAATCGCCGACGCCATTGTTTTTCCTCTTTCAGCTTTCGACCCGCCGATGAAGTCTGTTGATAGTGAAATGAGATGAGCGCAGCAACGCAAGCGAGCAACTGAGCAAGGATGTAAGAATTGAGTTATATAGAACTTCTATCACCCAGGCCGGAATATCCAATAGAAAATTTACCCAAGGTTGGGCTTAGGAAAGGGAATGGGCAGCAGCCTAAACAAAAACCGTTCTTTGTAGGCAAAATACAGTTCCATAGCCAAAACTTTCACGTTTGTGCCAATAATAGCCACATTTGGCAAAATACCACTTATAGCCAACTTTTGAAAATGTTGTTGGACAAATATAGCCTTTTCCGTTAGAAACATTGACGGCGTTACTAACACCGTCAAATAAGCAGACGGTTTGCTGATTAGGCGAGAAGAACACTTCCACGTCAGCGCCAACTAAGCAAGTCTTGACACGTCATCTTGACACGTCATATATTCATTTATTAAAAATAAAAACTTATATATTACATTATTAAAAAAAAAAATCAGACTATATATTCCATTTCCATCGAAACCAATCCTTCAGCCCCTATTTTTGCTCGATACAAAAATTAGGGTTCCTCTCCCAAACTTCAAATTTCGACTCTTCTCCCCGAATCCTCAACTTTCCACTCTCCCCGATTCCTATACTAATCGATTCCTATTTCAGAATTAGGGTTCTTCCCCCAAATTCCACTCTCCACGAATCCTCTACTCCCTTCTGATCGAATCCTCACTCCCCTCCGCGATTCCGATTCCGATTGATTCTGTTCCGACTCGCAACGACGACGATTGCGACACAACCCTCTCCTTCTCCTTTCGCGATTTCTCCTGCCCAGCACTTCAAGCGAGCTGCAGGCATGTCCAGGCGAATAGCTTCCTCAAGTTCGACTAGCACTCAGAGACTAGGCGTGGTACTCTGTTGGTGCAATAAGCCTTGTGTGGACAAATCGGCTTCGAGGGAAGATTAGGGTTTCAGAGTACAATCGGTCGATTCCCACTTTCCTCCTAAGCATGCAGAAGAGAAGAAGCTTAGAAAGATTCGGCCAAAGCTCGGCGTCGATTAGTCAACCCATTCTCTGTTATGTTTCTCGAGGAAGGAGGCGGTAGGTTCACTTTCGGATTATCGAGGAAAATCGAGATTGGAGATGAGAAGGGTCTAGATTGATGGTGGCGGAAGGAATAAGGGGTTCGTCGGAGGGGGTTCGTCGGAGGGGGGGGCGTCGGAGGTGGGGCGTCGGAGGAAGATGGTCTTCGTGGTGCTTCGTGCTCGTCGCCTTTCGAAGGAAGATGGGTGGGTGGTTTCAGAGAAAGAAGATAAGGTAAGATGGAAAAGTCGACCAAATGGTCGGTGGGTAGGCTATTTCGTGTATTGTATTTTTTTTTTTTAATTATTCGCCACGTGGAAATCACTAGCGGTCCACGTAAGCTGCTCCGTTTGCCCAGTCACACTTAACGTTAACAGCGTTAAAGAATTGGACGGAGGTGGCTATAAGTGGTATTTCGCCAAATGTGGCTATTATTGGCACAAACGTGAAAGTTTTGGCTATGGAACTGTATTTTGCCTTCTTTGTAAAAGGAATTGAACACTGAACAGCCAACAGCCCAAATATGTGCATACATTACCGCTGGGAAGGAAAACCCAAGATTCAAATGAGAAGTAGTCGCTCAATGATGGGCTTGGAGCCTTGGACCACGCCCTAAGCATTTTTTTCAACGTAAATACCTGGAAAAAAAAATCATAAAATGAGAAAACAGTACTAGATTAGGGGCACTGGGGTGATATTCGGTTATTCTATAGGAACTAGCTTATAACCCGGTCGAATGTTTTTATTTGATTATTTATATTTTTATGTTAACTCATTTAATTGATAATCATTCGATCGAGATGATACATAAAGAAAGAATATATAGGTCGAACATTCAGAGAAATACCATCCTCATTTAAGAATATAAAATATAAAAATGTATTATTGATCTCATTTTCATAATGATAATTAAGCCCCGTTAAAATACTATTGGTTAGTTGATTGTCAAGAAAGATAGAGTATAAAAGCTCAATAGAATTCGCACAAGACTCATAGATAGTTTGAAACTGAATCTGAAACCTCTCAATCCTACATACAGGATTCAATGTTCTCCTTTTAGGAACAATATGCCACTAAGCAAAAAGGAAATTAAGAGTTTTTTATTCAAGTCAACTGACAAAATTAGGGTTACATCCAATATACTAATAGACTCGATCAAAGTAATAATGCACAAGATTAGACACTCTTTATCTATCAGTTCCAGTAGGTTGAATAAAGAACCAACCTAATTCAGTAGATCAATAAATTATTCCTCATTTTAAGATTGAAATATGTTGTGGTAGCGGGAAAAACCATATACCTAAAGCTCCAATAGACACCACTCTCCGTTGAACGACCAAATTTTTATCCACTCTATATTCAATCTCAAGAGACATATTTTTCAACCAAAAATTCACTTCCTAATCCTCCTTTTGCAACTCCATTCCAGCTACGTTGATGGACGTTCTATGTGGCCCTCAATTTCTCTTTAAATTAGGGTTCTTGTCAAGCCACTTTTCAACTCCTCAATCCTCTTCTTCTGTTTTGCCAACTCATCTCCAATTCTATCAATATGCTCATCTCCCCCTTGTCTGCCTTCACCTGCTTCAGTCCACTTCCATGTCCTTCAATATCCTCATCATCTCTAACTTCTCTCTCTTCAACTGCTCCAGTTTCTCTGCCATGTCTTTCAATACCCTCCTCAATTCGATCACTACCTGCACCAACCCCCTCTCCTCTGCCTTCACCTCTACCAAATCCAAACACAATTTCTTCTCCCACCACTTCCATTCTCAAACTCAATCCCAACTCTTCTACTCTAAGTTCATAGCTCCCAACTCCTAGAGTGTTGCATGAAAATTTAATTTTAGCAATCATTATGGCTTACAATTAGATTAATGGACACTAAAATAATCACAAAATCAATAGTGTCTAACTAATCCTAAAACAATACCAAGTATTTGATTGGCGAGCTGGACCATAAGAATCAAAATTAATAAGAAAAAATATGGTTGCGGAGAACATTAGCTATGAAAAAAGCAAACATGAGCATAAATATTATAATTGAAAGAAACCTTTTTTCTAATTGTGATCTTATTTTATTATTTCTATAGCTAAGTAAATAACAAAAATAAAATACATGAAACAAACAACCAAGAAAGTAGACAGAGCGCTAGGAAAGTACAACTGCACCTATTTTACACAAATATCTCCTTTGTTTTCAAACAAATCTAGCACCCAAACTACCGTTCAAATTCCTTTCCTATATTTTATAAATCAATCACAAACAACAAACTTAGATAAATAAGGAAGGAAATATTAGTCTACCAGTGCAATTCAATGAACCTTCTATGAAGATAGAAAACTCATTGAAGTTGAAACCTAAGAACAAAAAGAGGAGCAATGACACAAGAGATCCACCAAGCTTCAAACATCGTATGAGGCAATAAGATCAAAAGAAATATATCTTCTGCATGTTCTGCTCATGAGACAACGTAAAAGTAAAAGTCGTTTTGTTATTAATTAGAAAGATAAAACCACGAGACATAGAGAAGAAAGGAAGTACTTGCATATGTGAAGCGATTAACCTTGAACGAAGACTGAAAGCCTATTCAAGGTCGATGCCTAGTATAGGAAGAGAAGTAAAAGCAGAAGATATAACTGATCAAATATTGTCTTCGGCAATAAAAGCAACAAAATAGTTATTCCGGTAATTCATCGAGGAGAGAAAAAACCATAGGGCGATGCCAGTGCTGAGGAATTGAGCGAGATAATTAAGGCCAGACCATAACTACTTGATTGAACTCCACTCAATTCACCATGGATTGATATCATAGTTGAAATCTTCTACTTGCCCAACCTAAATCGCCAACAATAAAACTGCATTGTCAAGAGATACTAGAAGATTGATTTTCAAAGGCGCCCTTGTACTGGGACGTGAAAGGGGCGCAAACTATTGCGCGATGGAAGGAATTTTGGAGGAAGTTAGAAAGAGATAAGAACAAAGATAAAAAAGCATAAAATTTGAATTTAAATTGAAAAAAGTGCAAGGGCACAACACGTAGTAAAGGAAATTGTTTTTCCATATTAGCCAATTACCAATTTACCTTTAGTGAAAATTAAGGACAGAGCATGAATTTTAAAATGGAGAAAATCACATGAAACTCTACTATGAAAATTGAAGTATCAAACACCGTGAAAATATATACAGTAGAATTAGTGGGCTTGTTAATTATGATGGAAAAGTCCTCCGCTTACTAGAGTTTAACTCGCCTGTATTTTGTATCAATAAATATATAACAAATTTGTTTAGTGTAATTGGTCTAACCTTATCAGATCATTTGCTAAACGATTAGTTGGTAAATCAAAATAATAACCAATAACCGACTATGTGGTTATTGTTAGCCTATTAATATCAATGGCGTGGTTAATAGTAAGCAAAAATTGCTCAACGGTTAAGCGACAACCTAATAAATGGTTACAGTTATAATCAAACCAAACCGACTAACAGGCCTAGTTAGGGGTGGTTTCCCGAATAAGATTGGGGGTATGGATTTGTCACTATTTCAGAATTTGAATTGACACTTAATAGAAAAAACTAGTTATTTATGGTACAATGCTTACTAGTGATAGAATTGTTGGTTAATCGTTTATGCAATATAATATAAAAGACATATACAAGACATTTGTCTCAATATGTATCTCAGTACCCAAATACTAAGGATCTTGTGCCATAAAATTGAAGAGCATATTCAAGCTATCATCATCCACACTAGGATTAGCATAATGAAATAGAATATCATTGTTTTGTCATTCTGGAAGTTTTTAAGTGAAATATGTGATCATATCCTTAGCTTCCAAATTCCAATGTGTCGTCATTATGTTGTATTCTCGAAACTATATTTTCATAAAATTGGTTATGTGTAACCATGCATGGTACAATTAACTGAAACCTTCTACCACCATCGATAACCAAATTATTTTTTATTGTTTTCGATCTCTGCAAACCGACTCATTCATAACGTCTAAAATCACTACATAAACGAAAAAAATTAATTAGTTATTTACTAAAACAATTCATAACAATTCAAGCATTAAATTCCACAAAATAAATGGACATCTTAACTTTTATTAGCCATCTTTACGAAGATTTTAGCACCTTCATAACATGAGTTTTGTGGCGAGAAAGAGTGGAAGAATGGTACGAAACAACTGAGAACCAGGTTCTCATATTTATAGTATAAAACTAGTCGTTTATGGCCGTTTTTGGTCTGATGTTACCGTTAGAGACCATACTGGGCGAGGGCACGCGAGCTGAGCTCTAATACAACATCATGTTCGTTGGCGCATGAGTTCAGCTAAAAGCACTCTGTTTGAGCTCAACTAGTGTGCCCTCGCGTAGGTTGATCTAAAATAGTCCGGTTCTCAATGACCGGTAACATGTTTTATTTTGACAATATTCTTGTAAATCTTCCAAAATAAGACCAATATTTCATTTATGTATTAATAACGTAACACTTTAGCCAAATTCCATTTTGACAAACTATGGGAGAGATCTAGTATTCATAAGTAAGAAGTAGAACATAACTCCTGAGATGCGTTTTATGGTGTAAATTGAAGAGTTCTTGTAAGATCTCCGAAGTTATATGTGCTCACTATGCAGCAATATACAAGAACGAGCGACCTCTCGAAAAATCACCTCTATATGCATCCGAAACAAGAAACCCTGCGGGTCTAAACACAAAACGGAGAATATCGATTGTTACAAATATATGTTTACAATTTCGCTCGTGTTATCCTATTTAATAAAATGAACAAAATAATATATATAAAAAAGTCGGTTCACGCCTCAAGAAGACATCCGATTAGATTAGACCCTCAAGCAGGTTCATGGAGTAAGTCCCTAAGACTGTTTCGCCTTAGCTCATCGTCACGACTCCGTCTCCGACAACCATCTGCAATTTGAAAGTCGAACGTCACCGTCAAAGGCGAGGACTTCTTCCCGATACCGGGAAGAATCACCAGGTCCTGATCACAACAATCCTGAAGATCAAGCGAGTACAGCACATCTTCCCTGCTCCATCCCGCACGCAATAACTCCCCAGCCGATAGCATCCTCACGTGCCACACAGCGTCCTCCTCCTCCTCCTCCTCCTTCCTCTTCAATCGATCACAATTGTTGTTCGTCTTCATCATCATCATCTCCCTGACTTCCTCTTCTCTCCACCCTCCATCCCTCAGCCGCCAGAAAACCTCCTCCATACAAGCCGTCAGCTCCAGCTGGCAACAGATGATTTCAAACCCTCCTCCTCCTCCTCCCCCTGGGACCCACCATCCGCCGGTCGCCGCTCTGCCATCCGCCGCAGCTAATTTCCTCCTCTTCCCCTTCTTCGCCGCCTCCGTCCAGAACTCGATCTCTCTCGCAGCCGTCGCCGCCCAGGCCGGCAGCATAATCGCCACATTGTAATTACCCTGCCCAACCACTCTATTGCTCCCAGCGAGCTGCAGCTGGTGGAAGAACCCGGCAATGTCGAAGCTCAGGACCCGGACCGCCTCCTCGTCGACGAGGAAAATCGGGTTCCCCGAAGCCTCGGGCAGTGCTGGGATGTAGCAATTTCGGTAAATCGGGACGAGAGCGGGAGCGGTGTTCAGCAATTTGTCGAGGACGGCGTTTAATTCGGATGGATCTTCGGGTCGGGCCCCCCAGGATTCGACCCAGAAGCCGTGGTGGCGGACGTTGTTGGAGATGTCGAGCGCGGGGAGGTCGCGCAGTATTTGGAGTTGGTGGAGGGAGGAGGATCGCCAGTTGGGGAAATTGGGGCCGAAAGGGAGGCCCTCCCGGAGAATGGCGTGGAGGTCCGGCGGGAAGGAGAATTTGAATTTGGATTCCAGATCGGAGAATTCGGTGCGGGTGAGGCCTGGGAGGATGGGGATGTGGAGGAATTTCAGGTGGTCGATGAGCTTCTTGGCGTAGGCTGCGAAAGAGAAGCACACCTGAAGGTTGTTGGGTCTTGCAGTAGCAGTGGAGGATGGTTTAGGCATAATTGATGACGGCGAGTGGGGAGAATAGATATTTGGGAGAATGGTTTTCTGGGAATTTGGAGATGGTGGGGATTTTGGTTGCCGAAAATGGAGGGGGAATAGAATTTGCAGCATTCTGATGAATAGAAAGTTTTTGACTTACTCTGCCAAGAAATCAGTTTGAAGAACTGTTCAGATTCGTATCCCAATCAATCAGTACAATAGTTATACAACAAAAATTCAATCATATTAGAAAGCTGTATTTGACTTTGTGTTGCCATTTGTGAAATTAGGAGCTTCTCCCCGCAAGTTCCGCTAAGGGCTTTCTGGTAATTGTAGGACTCGAGGAAAACTCTGCAGATTCTTGATCTTCTGTTGCCTTTGCATGGTTGATTGCCTTCAGTCTCTTGTTATCTTTTTCTCTCTCGCTTTGGTGCTTTATGTTAGAATTTTTTTTGTAATCAACAATAGTTTTTTTTTTATTTTTGGGTAGAAAGTAATCAACAATAGTTAGTTATTAATTGTTAAGACTAATTACGTTCGTACTCTTTTCTGGTAGGGTTAGAGGTGGATTGTATACATGTCTACGTCCGATATCTCTGTGTTGGACAGGAGAAGTCAGGATATCATGTTTGGGAGCCAAATTTTGCAATTAAGGTATAAGTAGGATTGCAAATGAGCCGTATTTAGCGGAATTTTTGTTTAACTTGAGCTTGGCTCTTTCATAATTTTTTTTAGCTCGCTTAAATTCTAATTTTAATAATCCAGGTCGAGCTCGTGCTCGGTTTGAATAAAAATAATCTAGCTCGAGCTCGGCTTGATAGAGCTCGGTAAATGCTCATTAACACAACTTGACAACCTGAGTACAAGCTCGGCCCAAAATGAGCTCAATTTGAAATCATTCTTGCTGAAAAATGTGCAAACATAAGAATATAAACGGTAAAAGGAACAATAGAAACTAAAAACAACAACTAACTTCGATACACTTCCGTATTAACAAGATAATGTTCATGTTTAGAAGAGTAAATAATCATCTGCGAAGCTGAAGAGAGACACCCACACCTATTTCCAGGCACCCAGCAACTAGCGTATAGCGATTCATCTTCCCACAGAGGCCCAGCTAGCGCCTAATGATCATGAATGCCATTAATTCCGAACATTGAACTCTACACACTAGAAGTTTATCTCTGCAAAACCTTATCCCGCCGTCCGAACCCTTGTGCCTTTAACGATTCATCTCCTCCCCCAAATCCCAATTTCCCCCAAATCCCAACTCCCCTTTATCAAGCATTGAATTGAAGATGAAGGAGTTTCGTATAACTACGCCCTTCTTCATCGTCTCTATTTTCTTTTCTTCTTCTTTCGAGTTTTGACAATGCCATTAGAAGGGAAATAGAAGAAAGACAAGAAAGCTCACGTGTTTCCACTTTCTAGCAAGGAGGTCAGTAACAATTACAGTGGTTAGGTAAATATCCATCTCTATTGGCCTAGTTTTCTTTGGTCTATTTTGATTGTTTATTGTGGTGAGTTTTCTTTGGTCTATTTCTGTATGTATTAGAGTTAAATTCTATAAAGTGTTGTTTGTTGGCGACTTCTGTAAGCGAACTCAATACATAAATATGAGTGCTTTTGGTGTTTAACTTTGTAGGATTTCTTTGTCATAGAGCTGTGTCATAGATTTTGAAACTTTACCATTGGGTGATGAGGTAGTTCTTCATGAAAACCATTTGAAAGATTAGTTGTTTTGGTGTGTTTTTACAGACATTAGTTCTTATGAGATGGATTAATGTTGGTGCAGGGATTGTCGTTGCTAACTCTACTCCAACAGGACATAGTTGCTTAAAGGTGGCAGAAAACAATTGATGTGCTTCCAGAAGAAGTGTGTTCCACTTTACTTTCCTTTTCGTAACAAATTATGAACTCACTTCATCACGATTGAAAAGACTGTGGTGTTTTCACCACAAAAAAAAAAAAAAAAGATGTGGTGCTTCTACTTCTATGGTGTCTATGATATCATGATGTGGAGAGTTACTTGTATTCATATTTTCACGATGAACATGAGTTCTATCCACAACTTGTGTGTTGTATATTTGCACCTCTATTATCTAGAGTACATCTATATGTTTAGTCGTCTGCCTATATAGCCTCAACTCGTGGAATATGATTGAGGTTTTCTGGATTTACATTCTAATGCTAGAAGTGCTTATGACTGCTTTACTACTTTTGACACGCTGGATATTTCAATTGGCACTATGAGTACTACATTAGTTACTTATTCATGGTATTCAGTGAGATGGGCACTGTACATACAAATGGAAATACGGGAAGAGACCAACTTTCTTATTCTCCAGAACAATGCGTTTGATAAGTAAAGTTTTTTGAAGATATCTTTATAGATTTGTCCATGCCAATAGTGATCTCTCATTGGTTAGATACTTTCTTGTTTACTTTGTTTAGAAATTTTACTCTCTTTGTTTAGTAGTCGATTGTAGTCTTGAGATGATAGTTGACATAATTCCTTTAGGAATTGACAAAGAGGGACCTAAAGCTGTACAGGATATGGAGGAGCCTCAAACTGAATATGGTGTTCTAAGTTTGGAGGCAACAACTTCCCAACCTCAACCTGATCCGCCTCAAGGCCCTCATCCTGATGTTATTTAGGGCTGGAAGTTTGGTATCAGTATTTGGGATATACCGAACACTATCAAAATTATCGATATTTGGTATTACCGAATAAACGTATTATTCATTGGGATTGAGATTGTGATTGAATTTCAAGCGTTGTTTTGGTATTCAGAATTACGAGATTGAGATTGTTATATACCGAAATATCGATCAATACCGAAATATAAGCTAGTATGTATTTTATCCCTTTTAACTAGACTCCGTCACTCACTACCATTAGAACCTGAATTGTCAAGATGGTCATTTATTATAGATAGCTCATTCTCTCAATATTTGACAACCCATACCAAGCTCATTTTATTATTTGTAGTATGTTTATGGGTTGTTTAGTTTTCTATTTGTTGATTTAGTTTGTCCATGTCCTTCTTAGGCACCTCATTTTTCTAGTGTGTTGTTATTATACTTTAAGATTTTTTCCATTCCTCTTGCGCAAGTGTTGGTACCACATGATTGTTTATTTTTATATATTTTGAGAATGATTTGTCGAGCCAGTTTTTGTAAATGAATATTTTATTTGTAATTTTGAAGGAAATAATTTGGTATTTGATATATACCGATACCGAACAAAATGTTAGGGATTGGGATTGGGATACCAAATTTATTTTGGGATTGGGAATGAGATTGAGTTTAGGGCACTATTTGGTACTCAGTATTTTGGTATTTGGTACCACAATACTGATATTGTATCGATTTCCACCCCTAAATTGTTATTCATGTTGTTCCTGAAGCCCCAATTGCAACTGATGAGAAGGAGAAGCGCAAGGGTCCTACGTCTTGTAACTTGTAAGGTGTTCTCAGAGTGGTGGTAACACTATAATAAGGTAACAATTGATGGCAAACCAAAAACTGAGTGCAAATATTGTAATAAGAAGCTTGTTGGAGAGTGGAGACCCATCACAAGGAACAACTCATCCGAAGAATCATTACAACTCGTCACAAGTGAAGCAGGCTGGAAATATAAAACAACAACTCCTGCAATAAAATCTGAATAAGGATAAATTCCAGTTCACACCGTTCAACTTTAGTCAAGAGAACTCTCAAAAAGAACTTACTAAAAAAATTATAAGGCATTAGTATCCTCTCTCGATCGTGGAGCATGAAGATTTTAGGAGTTACAACATGAGTTTGAATCCATGCTTTAAGATGGTATTCAAAAACACCATAAAAATGATGTCTTGGCATTTACGATCTTGTAAAATAAGTTGCAATGGAGTTTATAAGGAAGAATGAAGGTTGAGTGGCAATAACCACAAATATGTGGACATCTTCTCAGAGCAAGGGTTTCATAGCAGTGACAGCACACTATATCGATAATAGTTGGACTTCGCAAAGTCGAATTACGATGTACTTTTTGTATTCATTCACTTATTACAGTCTGTGATTACTTGGTTGATGTTTTCCCTTATTACAGTTTGTTATGATTCAGGACTTTAATGTGTTTCACAACTCTCAGTCATGGTTTTTCCTGTTAAAGAAATATGCAATTATGCCTGAATTTAAGACTTTGACGGTGAATTTGTTCACTTTGTGTGTAAAAGAGATCATCATTGATATGAGTTCATAACAGTGACTATAATTAACAGATTCTTGCTTTTTCGTATGGTTGAAAACGGGTTGTTGATGGTTATTAACTAATAATTATAGTATGTTATAATGCATTACACTATGTCGTGTATGTACATATTGAATTGGAGTATATTATAGTATATTGCTAATCCACCATATTGATAAGTTTAATTAAGTCGTGTTGTCTGTGATTTTACAGGTTCATTTATGTACATGCTCTGCACACAAGTGAAATCCTTTGTAAATTTATGTTCAGTTGTTTATTGGATGGGAACCTCGATAATAGATTATTACCTGTCACAGTTAATAAATGCTCGACGAATGATGCAATGATGAGTCGACTAATGGAGAAGCTTCCTTTAGAGTCTCTTTTGGACCATTGAATTTAAGCATAACCAAGGTTTATGGTCAATAGATTAGACATGATAAAAAATATTTCTCATTCCTTTACTTGTTCGGAACTCGTGAGTGACTAGAAATCGAAAGCTAGATAACAAAAATGTTTTAACATATAACTTCAAAATTTTTTGGGAAAAAGAAATCAACTGCATGTCGACAAACCACTGTTTCACGAAAAACCTCTTGGTATAACATTCACCTTATGTCTTTGAAATAAAGAAATAGATCATAGAATTTGTGACCATATCATGGCGTTGAATATTAAGATGGGTATTGAAATAGTTTACTAAGATGCGTGTCAACATTAATGCCTCCAAGAGAAAGCAAGTAACCAATAATTGTTAGATTGAAATAGTTTACTAAGATGCATA